TACTGTATGGATTCCTTCAGCTGCTTCTTCGATGCTTCTACCATACCTCGATCTAGCTCCAGAAAATTTGCATATCGCTCACAAATGTACCCGGCATGATGTAGATGTTTTAAAGCCGTCACTGTCTCAATTGCATCTTTGTACAATTGGTCAGCATCGTCAAACCTCTTGTCTAGCACAGCTTGTTCCGCATTCAGATGCTGTACATAGTACATTACATTTGGATTTCCGCGCTTTTCCCACTTGTCCATTCTATTTCGCAGTTTCTTGGCCGCGCCTTTGTACTTCCGTTGATTAGTCTTGATAGCAGCAGCATAGAGGCAAGCCGCTCTGTGGTATGTTTCTATTTTAAAATGGCATTGTCAGCGATTGAAACTTGAATTAATAATCGGAAACCTTGAGGACTGAACTTACCTATAAAGACCATGAAGCTGGCGCCTACAGACCTTTCAAAATTATCGCCAAGCTTGAGTGCCCTCTTAGCGGCTGCTTCATGATCGGCACTGAAGAAATGAAGTTCACCCTCGCAGTAGACAATATTTGGAAGATTGGCCTTGTCCTCTTCTTCGCGGTTCTTGGCTATGCTAAACTCTTCACCTTTCAATTCGGGAGTTGCAGTTGATGGCATCGTCTTCAAAATCAATAACATTTGTTTGTATACCCGTAATGAGAGGATGTGGAGGGATTGTGAGGCTTCTTCGCACTGGAGCATCATGTTTGGGCAATCCTCTAGGATGTCGTTCAAAGGTCTCCCCAACTGATAAGGAATGAATACATCGTCTGAAACAGGAAACGGAAAGACAAGGATTGGAAAACGCAGTTAATCAGAAAACAAATTGCGGAAAGGTTGACTTACGGGCCATGAGACCCCAAAGTGCATATTCTGTATCGCCAATACGCAAGGCTTCAGTATAAGAAACGAAGAACTGAGGATTGATCTCTTCCAAAAGTCTCTTCCATGCCATTGCAGACGTGTAGGCAATCATGATTGTTTCTCCATTTCGAAGATTGCCAGACCTTTCGATCAAATGCAAAGCCGTTTCAGCAAACCTAAAACCAGTCTCGTAATCATGATTAATGGAAACCACGAGTAACGAGAGGGAAGAAAGACATGCTGCAGACGCTTCGTGAATGCCAAATTGAAAGGTCATATCAATCATCTTGCATGTCGCAAGCTGCGAAAGCATAAAGTCTCCATCGGCCAGGCAAAGGTACATGACCCGAGACAAGAGGTGGACAATAGCTTTCTGCTTTCGATCTTGGATCGTGCCCATGGTATCGTACGATTCTTTGGGGAAAGCTTTAAGCTTTTTAATGGTCGCAAGAGACTTGCGAAGTGCTTGTACAGGAATCATTAGCTTTGTGCGGAACAGAACGCAGCCAAGTTCCTTCAACATTTCGAGGCAATAATCTCGGGCAGCACCCAGTTGCATTTGCACTGATGATAATATTCTTTCTTTTGTCAGTTTCAGAGGAAGTTTTTCCGCATCTGACACTGCCTCGTGGCTCAGTACTTCCTCGCAGCGTTCTTCCGCGACTACGGCGTTTCCAAGAACAATCTCCGTCTCGGCACTGATAGTGTACAGCTTCACTGTCAGGGAGCGGCTCTCGACCCATTTATTTTTTTCAAGCAAGTCAATACCGTGAGATGCGTACTTTGAGGCAGCAGTATACGCCGAGACAGCCATAGCCTTTTGGGCCGCTCTGAGGTTCACCTCTGCGTATTCTGGCCGTTTCATAACATTCCCCGCATTGATAAGATCGACGACTGCAAATAGATCTTCTTCAAGGTGCACTGGGTCTAAAGAATAGTACAATGATGTTCCGATATCAAGCTGAAAGGATTCGCGAATTGGCCTGACGTCCAAAGCAGCCTCTTGGATCTTGTCGTGAACCCATCGATAATGCCTTGCGCCATACTTCTCAACGAAATCCTTCTCGAGAATCGTATCCAAAAGTGCTGGTACCTTTTGCATTTCACCTTCGGTCAATCGCCGTCCATAGGTATTCCAAACGGCAGTAATGCTTGCAACACTAAAGGTCGATCCAAGATAAGCCGAACACTGCAAGAAAGCTTGAACTTCTTGTGGTAGCTTCCGCATCCGTTCTTTCAGCAGCACCGCTACATTGGCTGTGGACATAGTGGCTTCTTCGATCTTTGCCAAGTCCCAGCTCCATTTGCGCGTAGAAAAATCATATTGAACAAGTGCTTCCAGCTGTAGCATTCGCAAAAACTCCAACACGAAGAAAACATTCCCAAGTGTTCTCTTGAGGCAGAGTTCAGCAAGTTTACGACAGTCCTCTTGATTGGCACATGGTGCTGCCATCGTAATTACCTCTTCGATGTTGTGAGATTCAAAAGGTCCAACCTCAATTTCTGTCATTAGGAACCTATGCCTGTCCCTTTGCTTTCGCATTGCGACAATCTTGTTGTATAGTAGACTGTTTTCGTCCACTTCCTCCGATCGATAGCAACCTAGGATCATCATCGGATTAGGATTCTGTGTATCTGTCGTTAGAAATTCAAGCATCTGCAGTGACGAAAGATCAGCCCATTGCAGGTCGTCTAGGAAAACAACCATTGGCGTGCATTCTTTGGTGAACAGTCTGGTCAATACTCGAAAGGCATACCGCATCCTATCCAGTCCATTCTCCAGGCCAGTAATATCAATATTCGAGTGTCGTATCGACTCGTGTTCATCCTTTAGAAGATCACTAAGGTCGGGAATGAGTTGCACCAAAAGTTGAACTTCATCCCCTAGTTGTTTCTCAATCGTCTGCCGAATGGTTGGTATGGCATCCGGCGTTTCGTTCTTGATATGCTGACATATTTTCCCAAAGGCATTGGCAATGGCAGAATAGGGCTCGTCCGTCGAATTCATGTCGAACTTTCCTTCCGCAAAGAATCCACCAGTTTCTCCTAATTCATCTTTGAGCGTCCTGGCTACCCTCGATTTGCCCATACCGCCCGGCCCAGATATGAGCACCACTTCTTTGTTGGAGAGGCAAAACTTGGAAGAGGACAATGGAGCTCCGTTGGAATATATCTCAGCAGCATTATTGGTCGCCTCACCAACCATACGATCAAAACAGGACTTTAGTTGAGAAACTTCAGAATCTCTACCAACCAATCCGTCGAGGCTGAAATCCGATACATGTTCCAATGATTTTCGGTTGAGATTGCTGTTCTTGTGGTGTTGAGAAGTGATGGGAACTATATTCTTAGACTTTCGAACTTCAGCGGTCTTGATTCCAGTAAGAACTGAAGCCGAAACCGATGGACTGTCGGAACCTGAACGATTTGTAGACGTATTTATTGTCTGTGTGCCTTCTTGTGAGCTCTTTGTTTGTGTACCAGTTTGTGATCCTTTTTCTTGAGTTCCGCTATGTGAGTACCTGTCATCGGATCCATCAGGTGCTACGGAAAGAAGCGCATCGTCATCACCGAATTCAGATGGCTCATCATCGTTATCATCAGAAGGTTTCAATTCGCTCAATTGAAATGGCAGTTCATCTTCTATTATAGAGCTATCCATAGGACTTTTTAGGTGAAATTCATCAGCCGTTTCCATCGTCTTCTACACTGAAGTGTCTATACTGGGTTTTACCATGGCCCGTAAAGTGTGTATGACAATATGAAGATACTATACATATTGAATATTACAAACCATTTTCAGTAGCTGTGCAGCATTTATATTTTGATTCCCAGTTCACCATGGCGGATATTATATATAGCGTATGTCCCATACCGGTACACGTGTACCGGTATGATATAAATCTTTTCGACTGCACGTGCGGTTTAGGCCAAGTGTCCGATTATTTCGGACTTTCGAACAAGGTATTGTTTATCGGTCACAGATTCCAAACCAAACCTTAGGATTCAACGACGAAACCACACCCAGAATCCCGACTCGGCTCCGTATAGTGACATAGTTCAGGCCAGTGTTTTTTAAAA